AGGCATACCCAGGATTTTTGAGGGGGGGGGGTATTTCCATAATTGCGCCTTTGTCCATGAGTTTATCGCTAGATAATTTCATCTCTTTATCTTAAGGGGGTTTTTCGAGCAACCAGGAAAGCTCCCTGGGTACACCACTGCTTAAACTCCTTTATACCCTTTGTGAGCCAACCTTGTCTTTTTTTTTTTGCAGCTACCCCCTTTTTTCAGTAAAGAACATGCTTTTCTTGCATATTTAAAAATTTACAAAAATATCATTATACCTTATCTTCATATGCAGCAAAACATCAAATCTAATTGAGAAATGATCACTTGCACCCAGATATTTCCAATCCTCTACCCTATCACCATTTTTTTTTTATTAAAAGTTAACAAGAAATTTAAAATAGCATTGTTCCAATTGTTGAAGAAAACCATTCAGAACAGTTTCTTTAAACCTGTCTCCTTCGGGAGTTGCCACCCAGTGGCACAGCGGTATGTCTGCGCTAGAATCCTTGTTTTGATACCCGTGGTGGGCAGAGCACAGATAGCCCATTGTGTAGCTTTCTGCTTAATTACAAACACACATGATCTGACTCTACAATTTCCCAGTCTGAGCGCGACATGGTGTGCTTGATAACTGTTAGAGGTTATTTATTCTATATTCTAGAAACTTTCCTTTAAGTCTAGAGTGTTATTCGTCATAGTATTGACTACATACTAATAATACTTACACTATGACTATACCGTGTGGTGTTTTTTTAGTAAATTCTTAACATTAGTTCTTATGTACTTCATTACACCCACGCTTGTATCTCATATTGAGTAAACTGTATGCCATTAACAATAACATGACTTACGTTTCTATAACATTCTGGGGAATCCCTTTTTTTCTGCTCTCGTCTATAAAAATGTATTACAATAGATTAGTACATTGCTTTAACTTCACGAGTTTTTTTTTCGATTTGGTGGAGATGTCATTCATTGTTTCTGGAACAATTTTTGTAGTGGGAAAACTTTTAAACATGTATATGATTCGAAGTACACATGCGCAGCACCCCCATAAAACAAACTAGAGGTTGCTACTGCACCCGTAGTTCCCGCGCCCTTGCTTTATTGTTCTGCAATTAAAACTATGTTCATACTTTACTTTGTATATAAGCCGGCATGGCCAGGTGGTTAGGGCGCTCGACTCTCAATCTGCGGGTCACGGGTTCGAATCCTCGTCACACCAAACATGCTCGCCCTTTCAGCCGTGGGAGCGTTATAATGTGACGGTTAATCCCACTATTCGTTGGTAAAATAGTGGGTGGTGATGACTAGCTGCCTTCCCTCTAGTCTTAAACTGCTAAATTAGGGACGGCTAGCGCAGATAGCTCTCATGTAGCTTTGCGCGAAATTCATAACAAACAAACAAACAACTTTGTATATAACACTCAACTGTTGGAAAAAAATTAACTGTTAGTATTTCTGTTTCTTATTGCTTCGGTTTTTGTGACAACAATTCTAATTACTCAATGAAAACATCCCATTTAAAAGGATTATGACCTAATATACTTGTCACCAGAGGGACCTAAAGAATCACATGTTTTATTAGGGAAAATTTGGATGTGGAACAGGGTATTCAATACGCTTTCCATCATTCTCAAGCCTGTTCCTAAATGGAGCTACCTCAAGTGTCTTCCTTTCTGGACAGTGTCTGTTGGTTCTCGCGATATCTTGCATAATGACATACATTTTATTCAAGTCATCAATCTCGTATTCTTGAAGGTGAAAGAAAGGCATACAAGTGATTTAGGTACACTGCCAGTAAAATATGGTTTCAAAAGTCCCAAATAATAAAAATAGGTTTTGACAAAAATTATTCTATACATTCACTTTTGCACTAACCTTGTATATAACAGAACTAAATATACGCATACTGCTACCGCTGCGATATAGTTATGATGTTAAATTTCTTAATACTTCTTAATATAATTCTATCAATGTGATATCGTAAAAAGAAAAGTATTATTGTAAGTTTTAGATAAATGGTTCTATTAACAGTAGGTCTAAGGTTGTTTGTTTATAGTTCTATACTGTTAGCTGCCCCTCCCCCAGTGGCTTAGAGCTAAGTAAGAGGGTTTATATTGTTAAAAAAAACGGAGTTTCGATACCCGCGGTGAGCACAGCGCAGATAGCTTATTGTGTTGCTTTACATTTAATAACTGAACAAACAAACAAAATTCATTTATATAAATCTATTCATGAGTTGAATTTATGGTTTAAACATACTTAAAACCTAATCTTGTCTAGTGTAATTTCGGAAATTATCTCGAATTTGATGTGTATAATAATTCCATGTTCCTTCTTCTTTTTTTTCTTTTCTCATATGCCATTCTCCAAATCTACACTATTCTTTTGTAAGCTTGAATACTATATTTGGTCGAGATTTTGACCCTCAAACATTATTATTGTTTTACATCATGATTCGGGAATAACTTTAAGTTATTTGCTTAATATAACTTACTATATTAAAAACAAAACTTTGGGCGTTGCACAAAATTACCAAGAGAATTTATTGCTCGTCCGATAAAATGTTCTGACGATATTTTATTTTAGTTCCTTATAATCATTATTTCTGCATTTTCTTGTAGTTTGGTATTTATTATTACAATATTATAGTATAAATTACAGCGTAAACTTTCGCTACCATTAAAGATATTGTTACGACGGCGGAAGTCACACGACGCTGGAAGCATGGCGCTGGAGTTTCTAGAAGGATCATGTCTCTTCCTGGCAACTCTAGTCTTTTCTACGCGCCCTCTATTTTAGTATATAAGCAGGCAAATAAAGCGAGATAATTAATTGAATTGCAGACAGGCAGAGATAGAGACGGACAATTGAGTCAAGCGCGGTAGTGACCATAAGAAAAGTGCGTGAATCGTTGGGAATTATAGCATGTGATTAAGTTAAAGTGACTGTGGAAATTAAGTG